ATCACTGGAAAAAGGATAGCAGAACAGTGAGCAGTAAAGCAGAAAAATATAGACAGAGCAGAAGGACTACTCAGAGGGAAGGAAAACTACAGGAAAAGTAAGTTTGGTGATTTCAATAATTAACTGTGTGAGTGGGTGTGTCTGAAATGAGAAAGCGGGATGTCTGTGTATGTATGTTTATTATGTTTGTTATTATATAATTTTAATGTTTAAATAGTTTGTTGCCAGCATCCTATATGTGACCTACCATTGCATATAGAATGTAACCACTGAAAAGCCCTTTCTAACTGTATTATACCTTAATATGCATCTGTGCTAATACAGTTTATCTTGCAATATGTCTTATAAACTGTAAGAACTAATGTATTGTTTCTCTAAATATGCATTTTAGATTTATTGTATTAGGGTTGTGTTAAATAAATTTTTCTTTTTGAAGAATTACTGCCTGAGTGTCAGTCCTTTGAGTGGAAGGCTGTATCCGTGACCTCCCGGGGGTTAACAGAATTAGTCTGTTCTGAGAATTCTCCACAGGCTGAAGGGAAACCCCCAGTAAAACTCTGGCAATTCCTCTAGGGTGGGCCACCAGTTTTCACCTACCAAAGCCAGACAAATTGAGAATTAAGTTACGGATATAGGCAGGCCATTGTAGGGCTGCCTGGAGTCTGATTTGGGAGAGGGTAACAAATCTGGCAGTGAGCGCTCCATGTCGAGGAGTGGAGAGTCAGGCTCAAGGGCCACATAGATATCATCCTGATGGAGAAATTGTTGCTGGTCCCTGGGCTGTGGTGTTGCGGAGCATGGAGTGTGAACGGCAGCCCGCAGCGACTTTTGTTTAGCGTTAGAGGGAGCCGCGGGACATTTGTAGAAGCCCTGCAGAGGTTCCGCATCTGCTGAGGGGGATGTCGGCACCGGGGTGGAATGTGCTGCTGGCACCAGGTCCATCTTCGGTGCCAGCAGGACTGGTGCCAAGGAGAGCTTACTGCTGTGGGAAGCCGGGTCCCTGCTTTCACGCCCTGTGTGAGCAGCTGCAGCTGAGGTGCTGGGGCAATCAGAGGCGCCTGCTGTTGGCACTGTCAGCACTGAGGGTAAAGATCTTGCAGGAGACCCTTTACCCTTTTGAAGGTCTCTGCGCAGAGACATTGGGGCTTCCTGCCTCTTTGCCTGAGAGGGTGAAGCCACACTCCCCGTCGGTTCCGACTTAGCAAGGGAGGTGAGGGAGAGGATTTACTGCCCAGTGCCATAGGCGGCTGCAGAGCTTTCTCCATTAGAAGCATTTTTAGCCACAAGTTTCTGTCATGACGAGCCCTAGTTTTCAAGTTGGTGCAGTGGAGACACTTGGGAGGGACGTGTGTCTCACCGAGGCATTTCGTGCAGAGTAAGTGCTCATCGGACCACAGCATAGGCTCCTTGCAGCACCCGCATTTCTCAAAGCCCCGGGACTCCAGCATAATGGAAGTAGGATTGTCTGGAGGGAAGTCTCAATGGGAGACGAACGTGAGACTTTTTTTTTTAAACTAATGAACTATTCTAAAGAAAGGGAGAGAACTGGGATATATCTAGCTAACTATTTCTATTTCTTTCTACTTATTTCTTTCTGTGACCAGAGAGAAGGTTAGCACTGCCCCAAGTTCAGTCTTCAGCTGAGGACAGTTGAGAAGGAACTGAGAGGGGAGGGGTGCGGGACGCACGCGCTCAGGCAGACTCTAATGACGCCGCAGGACAGCAGCTGAGTGCGTGCACCCCGACCAGGCACTGCTACCGAAGATCTCCAATAAACGGTGCCGGGACACACCATCACCTGGAGTGGAGCACCCACAGGGACAGTACTTGAAGAAGAATCTAAATTTAGGAATATAAGCTCTGTATCAATTGCAAAAGTGTTTGCATCTGGGAAATACCCACCAGACAGTAGACAATCAGCCTGAATGGTATTATTGTTCTTCCTAATCTCCCACCTTCCTGAGAAGCTTCCTGGGTTCCTGCTTTGACACGACAGGGTCTGGTGATCATGTCAGCTGGTACTAGACCCGCATCTTGGGCTTTCAGTGTTTTTCCATTTAGGGGGGGTCCAACTGGGAAACAAGATTCCCGCCATATGTAAATTCTATCTAAGGCTGGAGAGTGAGTTAATCCAGGTCACCGGTTCTTCACTGAATCCCCACCCAGGATGACTGCTGGAAACACCCAAGACTGATCTGGGGAAAAGGACTGGGACCCAGGCTGAGAAAGGTCAGCCTGTGAAGGGTATACCTAGAGATTTAAGCTGCAAGCAGTTCACCTTCAAGAGACTCTGCAACCTGCATAAAACAACATTTAGGGTGAGAAATTACTATTTGTAGCCAATTTCCTTAATGTATTAAGCCTAGTTTGTATGTTTTATTTGTTCAGTAATCTGCTTCAATCTGTTTGCGATCCCTTAAAAATCAGTCTTTTGTAGTTAATAAACTTGTCTTTGTTTTCTAAACCAGTTTGTATAATTCATATCAGGGGGAGGGGTAAAAAGCTCTGCATATGTCCTCCTCATTGAGGGAGGGGGCGATTTTAATGAGCTTGTGCTGTACAGATCTCTCTATACAGTGCAAGGCAATATTATTTTGGATTAACACCCAAAAGGAGGTGTTCACATGAGTGCTAGGTAAATCCCTGAGCTGAATCATCCCACACAGAGCTGAGAGAGAGAGTGACCAAGTGTGTGTGTTACAGAAGGCTTGAGGGCCTGGCCCAGCAAGGACAGAGTGAGGAAGCCCATGCTGATGAAACGGGCGGGCTCAGTGGGACCCCACTATAACAAGTGGCATCCTGGATGGGGGGGTCCAAACCTGTCACAGTGGCACAGCAAGCAGGGTAATGTGCACAGCTTGATGCTCTGAGACACTGGTGGTAATTTTAAGTGAGTTTTAAATGTGTTGGCTAGAGAACAAAGTGGTTACTGGTTTATTGTCTGTTTGCTTATTTTGGGCAAGGGGAGTAGGGACAGAAAAAGTAGGAAAATAAGTGAAGCTACCAAAAAGTTGGAGCTCCACAGGTTGCAAGTAGAAGAAAACAAAAAGATGCATAAGAGACAGATGGAATTAAAACATGGAAATTGATGAGTAAAAAGCAGCCCACCAGAGAGCCATGGACCTGACACAGCTAGAGGCTGACAAAGAAATGCAGGCAGAACAGGCCAGACAAAAAGCTGCTCTGGAACTGCAAGCCAGAGAAATGGAGGCAGAAGCAACCAGGCAGAAAGCTGCCCTGGAACCGAAGGGCAGGTTGAGAAAGCCCAGGCTGGTGGAACGGGCGGGCTCAGTGGGACCCCAGTATATCAGGTGGTATCCCGGATGGAGGGGTCCAACCTGTTACAGCAAGGAAAAGAGAAATAAAAGATAAATAATTAGTTAGTCTAAGAACAGAAGCTGAAATCTTAAGAGCAACTATCTTGACACAAATTGCCCAGATCATTAGTTTACAAAATGAATTAAACAAAGGAAAGAAGGAACAGGAAAAAATGATTCAAGAAATGAAGGAATGGAAACAAAAGGCAATAGATATGCAGGCTGCAGTGACAGTTGTTCTCTCAGATGCAGGAGAGAAAGGGGAAGTGACTCGTGAGGCACATAAGCAAATATTAAGAGTGAATAGAAGGGTAATAGCAGCAATAAAGTCTGGTAGTAACCAGTGGATTGGCAAAGAAACAGAATCAGATGAAGAGGGTTTTGATTCTCCCTCTTACAACTATTTAAAAGGTTTCCCTCAGGACCTTATGGTCCACTAAGCAAAGAACTGGAAGAATTATGAAAGCCGCCTTTTATGGCCCCAATAGTTACACCTATTGTCACTAAAACTACTGCACATGGAAATGAGGGAGGATGAGAAGAGCAAACAGAGGAAAGACCCTATACCCTGGAACAAATTAAGACCTTAGGGAAATCCATGGGTTTTCTAAGTAAGAATACTATAGTTGGGTGGTTAGCCAAAGCATTAGGGATGCCTGGGTTAACAGGAAGAAACATTTGAGCTTTGATAAAAGAATGTATTAGCTCAGAAGACTTTGCTGGACTTGCTTGCAAAATCCAGGATGGAGAACCAAGAGAAATGTGATAGAGGAAGAAGTACTGAAATTCTTCTCCCTAAGGAAGACCCAATTGTGTGGTTCCATAAGGAAAGACAACAAACAGGGGAAAGGCCAGAACCATATATAATTAGGAAACAACTGGTATAAAAACATTCTGGGCTAACGCCATTATGATGCCATACAATTCAAAAGAGCCTTGTTGCTCGGATTCAATCCGATTTTGAGAATGGCTATGGTCTCTGACCACCCTGAATTTGGCACATTACATGAAATTGAAGAGGCAAAAAATGTAATACAGGGGAAAGTTTCCCATCCCCAAAGAAAAAAACAGAGCAGCTGTAGTAACCTTCTCCAATAATGGCCCTCAGGGAAAAGAAGATAAAAGAATGGGACAGCATAACTTAAGCAGAGGAGAACAAAGAAAAGAGTAAAAGAAAAGTAAAAGTTTGTTGCTTATGAGAAAAAGAAAATTTAGGTAGAAATTGGCTTTGGAAAAAACTGTCACAATATGAGTCTAGGGATCAGATTAATGGGTTGCCCACTAAAGAAATGCTTCAAAGATTGGCAAGTCATGAAAAAAAAATCACATCTACACCTCCCCCACACTCCAAGATCATAGAATCATAGGACTGGAAGGGACCTGGAGAGGTCATCTAGTCCAGTCCCCTGCACTCATGGCAAGACTGAGTGTTATCTACACCATTCCTGACAAGTGTTTGTCTAACCAGCTCCAAGCAGGCTAGGAGCCAAATGTAATGGCGCACACCTCCCAGCACCAGCCAGCCACCCACCCACCTCTCCCAGGGCAGCTCGGCTGCGCTATGTAAGCTCAGAAGAAGGGTGATCCCGACAGACACCTGCCGACCCAGGAACAAGGCTGCACAAAACACACCGACACCCGCTATCCCCGCGTCACGCACTCGCGCACGCTGTCCTGCCCCATATATGTTGTGAAATGCCGCGAGCGCTAACGTAGCTTCCACGTCGTATCTCGCGAGACTTCCCCACTAGCTTCTCGCGAGAATGAAGGGAGGCGGCTACCACGGAGATGGAGCCGCCGCAGCGCGTGCCTACCGGGCTCCCCGCGATACTGGCGGTAACTTCCCCCGCCCACCCTGGCGAGCAGCGCGCGGGGGGGGAGACCTTCATCTAGCACGGGAGGGAGGGGCCGTGGGGGCTCCATGGCGGGGCGATGGGTGCGGCCCCGGGGAGGGGAGATCTCTGGGGCGCCGGTGGGTCGGGGCTGGTGAAGGGGGCCGGGTGGGGGGGGGGTGTTGGTCTCTGGTACCTCACTATGTGGAATAGTGGGAATTCGGCTGCCTTGGGGGAAGTCATGAGGTAGCTTTGGTACGCGACGTACCGGGAGTTATTGGGCTTTCTCCGTTATTCTGGTGGCAAAGGGCTCTCTGGACATGAGCGAGTGAAGCTGTCAAACCCCTCCTTATACCGGCCCAGTTATGTGTGTCACTGGCCTCCGAATGTATCAGGGGGCCTTCTTTGCAAACACTGGTGGTGTGAAGCGTCCCACTGAGTGTAAGGCTACATCTACACTACGGGGGGGGGAGGTCGATTTAAGATACGCAAATTCAGCTACGCGAATAGCGTAGCTGAATTCGACGTATGGCAGCCGACTTACCCCGCTGTAGGGACGGCGGCAAAATCGACCTCTGCGGCTTCCCGTCGACGGTGCTTACTCCCACCTCCGCTGGTGGAATAAGAGCGTCGATTCGTTGGGACGCGATAAATCGATCCCCGAGAGGTCGATTTCTACCTGCCGATTCAGGTGGGTAGTGTAGACCCAGCCTAAGTGAAGTCACTCACGTGTGTAAGTTTCTGTAAAGTCCAGGCCAATCTGTTTTACTTCATTTTGTTTGTTTCCTTGTTTAAAGGAAGCTTTAAATTGGGGCTGTCTGCTTTAATGTTAAATCATTTTCTTAATCTACATTCCAAGTCTGTGCTTTTCTGATGTCAGTAATTTAGAAGAGTAAAGTAAAATTCCAGTTTTGCAATTGATAACTGTTAATATGTAAGCCTAGAGTAACAAGGTTAGCTTTGGTACTGGTAACATGAAAGTTTATGTTCTATTTCCTAAAAGTTTCCTAATTGATTTCATGTTTTGTCTGCAGCAGACAGACTGGTCTGAACCATGGCTATTGGGTCTTGCCGTTTTCCACATCCTCTGCTTCCTGATCACTTTCTTTTCATTCCAGCGCTACCACCTGCAGATAGGGCATTTTCTCTGCATGGGTGAGTAGAGAATTAATAGCTTGCCTGAGTTTGTGTTTCAGTTTGAAATAGGCATCCATATCTTTAAAGTTATACATATTATTATACATCTCCTCTATGGCACACTAGTGATTATAATTCTGTTTGTGCTCATTTGTTATTATATACAATCACACACCACTTAGTAATGTAATATACTGTTCAACAGAATATATATACAATAACATCCCCCTTTTTACTATAATAAGCCTGATTTATTTATTTTTTTGTGCTCTGTCTCCCAAACAGCTTGAACCAGCAACTCAAAAATAGTTTAAATCTTTTGGTCTTGTTGAAGACTTGTGCTTTGCTTAATTTAGGGTGGTTTTGTGGTTGAGAATTATTTAGCAGTTAAGTGGTTTCCATGTACTTTGTGTCTATATTGGCCTCATTGAAGATGACAAAGTTGAATAGCAAGGAGGTAGCCTTGGGAAGAATAGGGACTTTGTGGTTTTTTAATCTGTTTAGGAGGTGAGAAGAATTTTTAGGCCTTCTTTATATTCCATATACAACTGAAAAGAGCGTACATCTGGAACCTTGTGTAGGTCACCTTTAAGGTCACCCAAGCTGCTTTAACTTTGTGCCTGCGTCATTTTTCACAAAACAGTGAAGCATGAGGTGAGCATGTATGTAGACAATACACTTCCTCATTGCACCAGTGTCTCTGAAAATAAGTGATTTAAAGTTATACATATTATTATACATCTCCTCTATGGCACACTAGTGATTATAATTCTGTTTGTGCTCATTTGTTGAATAAGAACTGTTAATAGTCTGGGTATATATTAGTATTAGTCCAAAGTGTGCCAGGCTTCACTTCACTGCAAGTCACTGTTGCTTTTTTCAGAGCCATAAATGGTCAACGGAAATTATCTCTCTTAACAAGAAGTGAGTTCAGGACAATTATCTGAAAGCATACAAAGTTTCAAATTTCTTTGTATAGACGTGCAACTATAATAATATGGGGAGGCTGCGAACTTCATAGGGGCAGTGTCTCAATCAGGTACAGCCAGGGGTGCAAGATACTTACGTATCAAAGAAAAGCCAGGTATAAAAGTTTGATTTCTTAGATAAATTTTGCAAGTAAAGTGGATTTAAGATGTTGCTTTAAATTTCTCATTTAAGAAAACAACAACACTATCAAACATACCTCAGGATGTCTCATGTGGCACGTACACAGGGAGGAGGGTTGGCAAAGGACAGGAGAGATGATTATTTTGGTGACTCCTAATTAGATATTTCATAATGTCTGGTATATTGTTTTTATTTTAACCTATCCAGGCTTTTAGGCCATTGTGTTTTCTGAGAACTAAAAGGTTCTCTTCATGTTTTTTGCTTCTAAGTAATTTGGTAGATATTTACAACCTTAGTTCTAAGATAATTACTTATTTTTTGGTGAGGTTTTTGCTTTTACATTAAGTTTTACAACTGAACCATCAGTAAGATTGACTAAAAAGTTGTATTTTATTCTGTAGATTTGATTATATTGACCTTTTTCTACGAACTTATATCTGTGTATTTATCGTTTTGTAATACTACATTTGTTTTGTGTGCTCACATAATGAGATCTCATGTGGGACACAAACACTCAGAATTATATTTGTGCAATTAAAGTCTCAAATGTATAATAACTAACCTTTTTGGGTGGGGAGTAATAGTATATATCGGGGGTAGGCAACCTATGGCATGCATGCCAAAGGCGGCACGCGAGCTGATTTTCAGTGGCACTCACGCTGCCCGGATCGTGGCTACCAGTCCAGGGGGCTCTGCATTTTAATTTAATTTTAAATGAAGTTTCTTAAACATTTTAAAAACCTTATTTACTTGACATATAACTATAGTCTAAAGAACAGGAGTACTTGTGGCACCTTAGAGACTAACAAATTTATTAGAGCATAAGCTTTCGTGGACTACAGCCCACTTCTTCGGATGCATTTCATAAAATTGGGCTGCAGTCCACGAAAGCTTATGCTCTAATAAATTTGTTAGTCTCTAAGGTGCCACAAGTACTCCTGTTCTTTTTGCGGATACAGACTAACACGGCTGCTACTCTGAAAACTATAGTCTAGTTATATATTATAGACTTATACAAAGAGACCTTCTAAAAACGTTAAAATGTATTACTGTCACGCGAAACCTTAAATTAGAGTGAATAAATGAAGACTCGGCACCCCACTTCTGAAAGGTTGCCGATCCCTGATATATATAATGTGTACAGGCTCAGAACTGATCACCAGCTGTCCATTTTGTCAAGAAATATTCAACCTAATATTAGTTTCCTTCTGTGATCTAGTGGCCTTGGTGTATTGTGCTGAATATATCAATGAACTGGCTGCTATGAATTGGAGGTAATTATATTCTATTTTCATATTTAAATTTTGCTTTTATTGGTAATGCTGGTTTTATTTGTATAGTCCTCAAAAGCAATTTCTAAATGAAGTATCACGTCCCTCAGCAGTGGAAAGTAGTATAATGGATGGTTTCATTAGTTAACAAACAAAAAAATTGAACATTAAAATTATAATACAATATGTGCTAAGTATTATATTTTATTTAGTACTGTATACCTAACTCTTATCCTTAATGGGGGAAATCATTTACATTGTTTTTCATATGGATCCTGTTTATGCTTTTCTTGTTTGACCTTTTTAAAAAACATTACAGATCCAGGTTATTTGTTTTTGTTTTAGTTCAAATTAACCCCAGAAAACTTATGAAAACCCTTTTAAGTCACAAGTGAAAACAGGGTTAGGTGTTTTTTTTTTTTTGAGGCGGTGGAAGGTATTTTTTGCTTTTGGTCATGAAATTCATCCATATTTTTATTTGTGCAAGAGCATCGACATTTTTGCATGATTGGTCTCTACTCAAGAGACATAATGCTGGAACAGCAAGGTGTGATAATTCTTGTCTGTTTATATGTCTGGGTCAAGCCTGGGCTAATAATTGTATGAAGTGGGAGGTATGACTTACTGAGGTCAAACTTGGGTACCTAAAATTAAGCACTTAGAGCCAGATTTTTAAGGGCATTTAGGCGCAAAGTTGCACATGGGCAGCTAGTGGGATTTTCAAAAGTGCACAAGTACCTCAATGGAGTTAGACACCTAATTGCTTTTAAAAATCCCATTAGATGCTTATCTGCATCTTTAGGTGCCTAAATGCCTTTAAAAATCTGGCTCTTAATCTGTACTTAGACACCTAAAAAAAAATTGGCCTGATTTTTCAGAGGTACTGAGCATCCGTATCTTCCCATGACTTAAATGAGACCTATAGGTGTGCATCACCCTGAAAAGTAGGTGTTTTTATTTAGACATCTAACTATTGTGTGCCAAACTTGAGACATGAATGCTTGAAAATTCTGGCCCGGATGCATAAATACTTCATGTATTCAGATATCAGGAATAATTGAAATTGGTGTCTACAAAAGAAGAGTATATTTTCTTTCTGATGCATAAGCATAGCTTCCTAATGTGAATGTGCAGACACAATTTTCAAAGAGGATTTTGTATCTGTTAGTCACTTTGGGTATGTCTACACTGCAGTTGCATACCCGGAGCTGTCCCATGCAAGCTGATTTGGGCTTGCGAGGTTTGGGCTAAGGAGTTAATGTGGTAGCCTGAGTCAGCTGTCACAGGTTTTTAATTGCAGAGACATACCCTCAGTTGCGGTGTAGATGTTGGGGCTCAGGCTGCAGCCTAGTCGTTAGGATCCAAGGCGGGAGGGTCCTTGAGCCCAGGTTGCAGCTGAGCCCAAACATCTATACAGCAATTAAACAGCCCCTGAGCCTGTCAGCTAGCACAGGCCAGCTGCAGGTTTTTAATTGCAGTGTACAATTCTACCACATTCACAAAAATATTGTGCAGAAATGAAAGGGTAGAATTGGTTACAGTATGCATACACAGCAGAACATACATGCACAGGAATTATTTTTTATTGAAATGTAATGTATGAAGTACGCTGAGTAACACTTGTTTTTTTTTATTTCAGGTTATTTTCTAAATACCAATATTTCGATTCAAGAGGGATGTTTATTTCCCTAGTATTTTCAGCTCCATTGTTGTTGAATGCTATAATAATAGTGGTATGTGTTTAATTTAAGTTTATATTTATAATAAAGCAGATTATAAATTTAATGTGTCCACATCATATGTAAATATGCTTACTTTTCAGATTACCTGGGTTTATAAAACACTGAATGTAATGACTGAATTGAAGACGCTACAGCAAAAAAGAAGAGCAGAAAAAGAAAAGAAAAAGTGAATATTAATTGATTTATTTTTAATAACACATTATGTAACCATTCCTTCCATCGTGTTTTTTTTGTTTGGTTTGGTTTTTTGGGGGGGGGGGGTACCCTCGTCAGCTGCAAATGGTCCTTGTTTACATGTGATATGAATATGGCCATGCAAACAGAAAAAAGCTGATTTTAAAAAAACCTTCATGCTCTTTACCATACAGTAGTTTGTTTTGTGCTGCATCAATGTTGTAGCCTCAGCTAGTTTAGACTTTCATATCTTCTGCTCAATAATTACTTGTCCATAAATTACATATTTATTTCATAGGGTGCTCATTAAGGGTCTGATTTGAAATCCACGTAAAGTTAATTGGAGCTTTGGTACGGATTTCAGTGGGTGGTGGATTATACCCCATCTTTGCTTACAGTGTTTTATTATGAAATTCAAGTGTTGATACATTGGGGAAAAAAAACTGTAAAAAAGGTATTGTGGATCTCGTGCATCCCACCAGGTGTATGTTAATAAGCAACGCTTACAGAATCAGTTTACAAATAAAAAGTTTTTTTTTTCTAACTCCCGGTCCTGTAAATTTCAGCTGAGACGTGATGGTCAAGATGGGTTCTGAAAAATATGTGGCATTCATGGTGGATAATCAGCCGAACATGAGTGCCCACTGCAACACTGACCAAAAGGACTATTGCAATCCTGGAGAATCTCAAGTAAGAGTAGGAAGGCTGCTTTACCTCTGTATCTGGCACTGGTGCAACCACTGCTGGCATACTGTATCCAGTTCCGGTGTCCACAGTTCAAGAAGACTATTGATATATTGGAAAGGGTTCACAGGAAAGCCACAAGAATGATTTAAAGGATTAGAAAACATGCTTTATAATGACTGAGCTCTTTAGGTGGGATACCCAAAAGGGACTTAGACATTTGCAACATAGCATCACAATGCCTAACTGCTAGGCAACAGGAGCAGCGGGACCCACAAAGCTAAGATAGTCATTTAAGCTTCCTATATAATGCATGGGAAGAGCTAGGCACCTAAGAATGCGATCTTCAAAGCCAGCACACTAGGCAGGGAGTCGCCTAAGCTAGCAATGGCAAATGCTGACCAGAGTGGTATGTCCTAAGACCCGTCTGTCTGTCGGAGATAGTGCCTATCTTTGCTTAGCAAGCTGTGACTGGAAACCTCTCTGGAATCGTGGCTTAGGAGTCTAAGGCACTTCTTGCAGAAATGAGTTAGAGGCCTCTGTTGCTCCATACAAAGTGAGGCGCTGCCCACTTGACAATTTTTAGCACAGTGGAGAAAGCACTCACCTTGGATGGGGGAGAGCCAGGTTCAATTCCCGTCTCTGCCAATGAGGGAAAAGATTTGAACAGGTGGTTTCCCACACCTCAAGAAGGTGCTATAATCCATTAGCTATGGGATATTGTGATGTGGGTCTCTCTCAATCTCATAAGATGTTCCACGAGGATCCGTGATGATTGATTGGAGCAGGGTGACTAGGTGCAGGATTTTCCACTTCCTAGGTGGGTGCTCTAATCACAGTGCTACTGTCATATTCTCTGTCACCCAATGACTGTTCCACTGTGGCTAAAAACCTAGTCATTGGGCCAAAGACGAATGCAGTATGACTGAAAAGATGATCTGATACAGACTTCCAAAGAACATATTAACATTAAAGGCTGAATATTAATCTGCATAAGCAGAATAATACTAAGATCCCAAGTTTACACACATATATAAACTTAAGGGGACTACTCAAGTGATTAAAGTTAACGCCAATGAGACTACTCATATGAGTAAAGTTAAGCATGTGCATAAGCTTTTGAGGGATGTGGGCCCATGTTTGTATCACAAGTGTATTTAGGTTGTGGTAAACATGTACAGTGATTTGGCTGCAAATAATTTCCTTGATCCTCTCTACAATAAGACTGACTATAGCTGTGTAAAAACGCTTGCCCCACCAGTGGAAAAAATAGGATTTTGGGAAAAGAGGTATTGGTTGTTTTTACTTATGAAGTCATAGTATGGCAATCTGCCATTTGCAACAAATATTGTTTTAGTGTTGTTAGTGTTGTAAATGGCTATAATTCACCCTTAATCAAATTAATAAGTTTTCACAATCTGTCCTTTTAATGTGAGATAAGGAAAATGAAAAATAGTTTTTCTAGAACTGTATAAAATTCTCATGGGATCGGCTGTTATAAACAAAACTGCTATGTCTGAACTTAGACATACAAGAGAATTCATAGAGCAGTTCTCTAAGTTATAAATAAATGTAACAGGGAAAAAATAAGGACCCCTTCCTGTTTCCAAGCATCCTGTACTCTATTTCTCTTTTTAGATTCTGATCTTGCAAGCTGATCAATGGGGACAGTTCTCTGCACCTTTGTGGAGCTGAACCAAAATCAGTGAAATTCGTGCAGGCCCAAGAGTCCACCCACACAGATCACCTTATAAGGGCTGGACCCTTCAGCATCAGGGACATGTCTGGCTTTGTCTTGTACAGCAAGACAACAATGTTGGAGCATAATAAATAACATACTGCAATACTTAACAGAATAACATATATGCCAATACGCAATCTTTAAGTAAAAATGACAGTTTTAGCATTAAGGAAGTTGGACATCACCATAATGCTACAATAATTTGCATACTTTTAAGTGGATAGAAGCTGGATGTTTTCTTTGCTAAAAATCAATTAATACAAAAGCACAGTGGCTTTTTTTTCCAAAGTGTGGATGATATGTGCACATTCAGAGAGAATAGGTGCCAAATCAATAAAGTAGGTTTTTTTTTTTTAAATTGGAATCTTCGCTTTGTTCAGCTCCAGGAAACATTAAAAGACACTTTAGAATGCTAAGTATAATTGAAGCAGCACATGGTTTTAAGCCTTCTCTGTTAAAAGGTCTCTTAAAGATAAGTAGCGATACATTTAAGAAAAATAATTTAGTTGTATAAATTAATGACTGCAAACTGAGCCAAATGTGATTTCCAAATGAAGTAAAATGTAAATAACAAGTATTCCTGCATTTTTTTCCCCGTGGGATTATCAAGCCTTACTTATGTTGATTACTTTTCCTTTAGATAACCTTTTTGTGTAACATTATGAAGGAAATTTTAAGTTTTAGAGTGAGGGAAATACATACAAAAACAATAAAAAATGTTATTTCATTTTTTTTATAATTTGAAAAAGTGTTTTTAACCATAAGAGCATCCTCTAGAGAATTAAATGGAAAGTGACGATTGTGTTGGTTATAATAGGAATGGATTTATGAAGTGATAGAACAATAAATGTAACCTAAAAGCCTACGTGCTGACAAACCTAAAATAATTACATCCTGAATTCAGACAGTTTTTGCTGGCTTCAGCTTTCTATATGTATAAGTAACTTGGGACTGACTTTATTTGTGGTGGAAAGCCTGAGTCTACATGCTTTGCCTGGCAGATTTCGCCTTCTCAGTGAACCTGGAGCAGCAAAGACACAGCCAAGGAATAGCTGCTCTACTAACTACTGCAGACTTTGGGCTACAAAAGGGAATTTAGTCATTGGATTCATGTAACCTGCAGAGACAAGCTACACCTCCAACATGCCCTGATCTCTTCTCAGTGCTATGGGGAGAGTCACTGTGGAATAATGCTAAAAGGTGCATGAGGAGTATGACGTCCATCTGTCATCCTTCCTGTAGCCCAGCTTTCTGTGTATTTGAATCATGGCACTTCTAGTGCATTAGGTGCTTCTGAAAGGGGGGCAATTAGGACTGTGCCCTAAATTTGCTAAAGAACCCTAAATGTAATAGAATTTGAAGTTAACATCATTCCAAATGCAAAACTGGTTAATGAGGTGAGGTGAATTTCCCCACAGACACTTTATGCGGCTCTGTCTGGAAACTTGAAAAGAGGAGGAGGAGAAGAAAACACAAAACGGAGGAGTCAGTTTTTAACAGTGTCATTCTATGTAAGAGGACACACTCTCTGGCTTGGAACAGGTTTACTGAAAGTAATGTGTTTCTTTAAGTTAAATAAGACAAAAAGTCAAGATTATTTTGCCCCCTTTTTATTTTAAAGTTGAACTAAATCTGTTAAGAATAAGGACATCTACTAGTACTGACATAGACCCCAATACAGCGATCACTTAGGGCTAGATTTTGAAAGGTATTCAGATGCCTAAAGATGCAGATTGGTGCCTAATGGGATTTTCAAAAGTGTTTAAGCAAGTTAGGCACCTAACTCCCATTGATTTCAATGGGATTGACCATTAAGAACATGCATAATTTTAAAACATGAGTAATTGATGGGACTACTCACATGCATAAAGTTATGCATAGATTTAAGTGCTTTGCTGGATCAGGGCCTCAAGTAGCATACTCATTTTGATAAATTTATCACATATGCATTTCAGAAAATGTTCAACATAGCTTCTGCTAGGGTACTATATTAACTTTAAAACTTGGCTTTTTTTTTGTTGTAAAGGATTGTCATATAGAGGAGGAAGGGTTTGGTTTGCCTTTTTTACATAGGTTTTAATAGTATAAAAACATTGGGGAAAAGTTTGAAGTAAAAAATAACATGAATTTTGGTGATCAAAATTACACTGAAGTTTTGGACTCAACCTTTTCCGATTGCTTGAGCTATAGCAACTGTTTTTGTTGTTTGTTTTTTTTAATGAAAGAGGTTATATGTTAGGGATTCAGATGATAAAGAACCAAGTTTCTAATTTAGTGACTTTTTATTCCTCTCTCATCATTTTGAACTGTTTTTAACATATATATATTAGTCTTATGCTTTTTAACGTAATTGGGGAAAAATACTTGCAAACACTGTAATTTTACAGTGTGACTAAAAGCAGTTTGTTAACCAAAGTCTGTATCTCGGCACAGAAAACGCAGATACTGTATGTCTGTGTATATATTTGTATCCAAGTTAAATATTTTTAAATGCAAAACACCCCAAAAATCTTGTATATGTTCAAAAAATAAGGGTCAGTTTACATCCAGTACAGGTGTAATATGAGTAGGGAATACGATGGTTAATTAGGATTTATGGGGCCCTATGCAGTTTTATTAAACTGGTGCCCCTATTCCTGATTTGCCCTTAGCAACACAAATGTAAGCTTACAGTATTGAAAAACTTGCCACATGCACTTTATTAAAACCAGCTTAAACAAGTTAAGCACTCTATAATGCTGATGGACTATTTGTCCGTTTCCCCTACCACCACCATCATTGCTGACGCACACCGAGCTTCGTATGGAGCAGTCGCTGCGGCAGCCTGGGCTTGCAGCCTGGAGGGGGAGGGATGAGGCAGCAAAGGATACAGAGCTGCCCTGCTGGTGGGGGGGATGGGGCAGAGGGAACTGGGGCTCCAGTTGCTCCATGGGGCCTGGGCTGAGAGGGCTTACCTGGAACAAGGAGCACCCACTGGTCAAGGTGTCCATCCACTGGGTGCCAGTGCTACCTTCTGCCCAGCATGGTTGAGGAACCCCTCCCTGGCCTCTGCATTCAAATAATAGCTGGGGCGCGTGCACAGCGCCCTCCCACCAGCGCTGTCCCGTGCCTGGCAGGGGCCCAAGTGTGGAAAAAGGAGATGGGGGAGCTGTGCGACGGAAGAGCCCAGCTGTCCGCAATGGTTCAGCAACCAGAAACCCCTGGGCCTGCCATCGAGCCTCCCCCTTGTACCAGCAAGTGGTACGAGCTTCTGGGGTGAGGAGGTGGGGCCAGAACAGAGCTGCAGAGGCTGAGAACTCCTCTCTGCCCCCATCACTGGCAGGAGCCCTCAGCTGGCAGCCAGCTGGCCAAGAGGAGTGAGGGGGCAGGAAGAAGGCAGCCCTGGGCCCGCTGGCCAAAAGCAGCTGGGGGGGGAGGGGCTGGGCCAGAGAGGAACCAGCACCTTGCCTGCTTGGCTGTGGCGCGCATGGAGCATCAGGCCAGCACACAGTGCCCTCTTTGGCAGGCTCCCCTGAGCACCCAAAAGGGCTGTCCCTGGTCCTGGTGGTGCCCCAAATTTTCTCATGCTCTACGCAGCTGTATATGCCTAAGGACGGCCCTGATTGAATGTTTTACACACAAAAACTGACTTCTTATTTCTCTTGCGATATTTTCCATACTGCCCATCTCCATAGTAGCTAAGCAACTAATTGCAACATATAGGAATGAGCAAGAATTCTGAGACTGTAAACACTTCAGAGCAGATACTTTGTGTGTGTTATGTATATTTTTACTATTGTAAAGTGCCCCATGCACTCATGATTTAAATAAAAACCTCTACAGGAAAATCACTTTAAAAGGATAATTTATGCATCACACTGCAATGTAAGGTCCAAATCCAGCAGACAAGTATATATATGCTTAATGTTGATTCTGCTGGAATTACTCATGGTAGTAAAGTTAAGCATGTTGGTAAGTGCTTGCAGGGTCAGGGCCTAGTACTGTAAATAGCTTTTAATTAAATAGTAGTGGAACTGGTTAAAACAAAGTAAATTTCTTAAAATGGACGAACTCCAAGTGCCAGTTATGACGTACACACAAATTCAGCCCAGAATCAAATAAACAGAATAAACTACCCTTTCTTCCCAACTCCTTATTCAAAGGCCTGAGAAAAGAGGCTTTGCACAGTGCCCTGAAGGTCAATAGGTTCAGTTAGATCAGCGGTTCTCAAACTGTAGCAACATGAGGACCCCCATTTTGATTTAAAATTTTTCATGGACCCCCCCAAGCTCTCCACTCAGACCCAAGCCCTACCCCCACTCCACCCCTTCCCCCAAGACCCCACTCCTGCCCCACCTCTTCCTGCCCTAGCCCCTCCTTTTTCCTGCTCCTTCCCCTCCCTCACACCGCCTCCTGCACGCTGCTCAACAGCTGTTCCCCGGCATGTAGGAGGCACTGGGAGGGAGTGGGAAGAGTTGATCAACTGGGCCCATGTACCCGCAGAGGTCTGCAGACCCCATTTTGAGAAACACTGGGTTAGATGAATAAAGGACACAAATTCCAAAGTCGAGAGCCCTTCGTGCGAAGCATCCTCCCAAACTAGTCATTCAGATCTTAGGACTGTAAGCACATGAGAAACCTCAGCTATCATGGGAGGAAATGTGCAGAAAGGCAGTCTCTCATAAATTAGGACCTAGGGCTTTATGAGTCTTAGAAGAGAATGTGAATAAGAACATTCTGAGATAGGGATACAGATCTTTGATCATACAGTAGAAATAATGATACTGGTCTAAGAATCCATGGTATCTGAATATATTTGCGGATGTCCAGCCATGAGCACAAGCTCAATGTGGGTAATTAATTTCCCCACCCCACACACATCATTCCCACTACCCTCTTTCTCGATCACTGTTGATAACAGCACTATCCTTACTGTCACTCAAGCCTGTACTCTGGGTGCCCTCCTTGACTCAGACCTATTTCATAGTCTTCACTGTGACCCATGATGCCTAGGGCAGCCCTCCCTAGAAATGCCAAGGCTGGTGGGTAACACTGAAGTTAAACTCCCCAGTCAGTCACAAACTCTGTTTCAGATCCCCCACACTGGTTAGCAAGAAGCAAAAAAGAAACCACACAGCCCCTTTATGCATTCCAGCATTCCTGTTCGCTGGCTCCCAGTCAGCACATACGTTCAGCACAGTGAGACGTTACCATATATACTCGTTCATAAGCCGAATATTTTTGGTAAAAAAGTGATGTATCAAAGAGCGGGGGTCGGCTTATAAACGGGTCTATACCAAAATTCTATGGAATCATTTAATTGAATATCTAATACATTATCATTTTGTTTACCTGGAGTGTCTGCAGCTATGGAGGCCCTCAGCTCCCTGTGGCCGCGATTTGCCATTCCCAGCCAATGGGAGCTGCGGGAAGTGGCGCCACTTCCCGTAGAGCTCCCATTGGCTGGGAATGGCAAACCACGGCCACTGGGAGCTGAGGGGCTCCATGCCTGTGAATGCTCCAGGTAAACAAAACGTCCCAATCCGCCGGCAGCTTAACCTGACGGACCGGGAGCCAAAGTTTTCCAACCCCTGAAATATAGGGTCGGCTTATGAAAGGGTCATACAGTTTTTGCTATTTTCACCTATCCATTTTGGGGGGTTGGCTTATGAATGAACGGGCTAATGAATGAGTATATACGGTATTCAAAAAACTCTGCTCACATATACAAAATGTTATTCTGACCCCAAAGGGTCAGTCACATTACCAGGTCAGTATAGGTTTGGATCTTACCCAAAATACCATGCTGCCAGCCAATCCTTTAGTGTCTAAAACTAAAGGTTTATTATAAAGAAAAAAGAACAAGAAGAGAGCTGTTAAATGATAGACAGTCAGATACATACAAAGACTTCAAAGTCCATATATCAGGTTCCTAGCAGTATTGGTGAGTTTGCTGGCTTGAAAGTCCCTCTGGAACACATCCACAACTTGGATGGGTCATTCAGTCCTTTGTTCAGAGCTTCATTTATAGAAAAGTTACTCCAGAGGTAAGAATCAGGAATGAAGACAGAATGGAGAAGATGCAACTGCCTTTTATAGTCTTTTGCCATGCAGCTTGAATTTCCTTTGGTCCAAACACAAGCTGCCCAGCACATGACCTGGAGTTCTGTCCAAAGGCATGCCCCTTCATGCCTAGCTGAGTCATAAGGTGTATCCCTGACCCTTTCAGTGGGTTCATTGTACAGTTTATGTCCCTTGATCGGCCATAGAATCATAGAATATCAGGGTTGGAAGGGACCTCAAGAGGTCATCTAGTCCAACCCCCTGCTCAAAGCAGAACCAATTCCGAACTACATCATCCCAGCCAGGGCTTTGTCAAGCCGGGCCTTAAAAACCTCCAAGGAAGGCAACTCCACCACCTCCCTAGGTAACGCATTCCAGTGCTTCACCACCCTCCTAGTGAAATAGTGTTTCCTAATATCCAACCTGGACCTCCCCCACTGCAACTTGAGACCATTGCTCCTTGTTCTGTCATCTGCCACCACTGAGAACAGCCGAGCTCCATCCTCTTTGGAACCCCCGTTTAGGTAGTTGAAGGCTGCTATCAAATCACCCTTCATTCTTCTCTTCTGGAAACTAAACAATCCCAGTTCCCTCAGCCTCTCCTCATAAATCATATGCTCCAGACCCCTAATCATTTTTGTTGCCCATCAAGTAGGCTAGACAATCTGGGAGTGTCACTGAGATGCACATCACAAGTTTGAAATACAGATATACCCTACATATCTATAGCTCATAATACAAAGGTGATACAAACATATAAACAAGATTATCATACTTGGCAAATTATAACATTTTTGCAGATACCTCACATAGCATATCTGACACAACTCATTGCCATTTTACAATATTGGTATTCATAATATCCTAAAGTGTTCCCCAGATGCCATACAGTGTCACACTCACATCCAAGGTATGTCTAAGACTATGTTTATACTGTATGGTGGTGCAGACTACAAGGGTATGAATTGCAGAGTGCATCAAAGTGTGCTGTTTGAAAGAGGACTACTTTTATGCAAACTACCTTTAAGTTCTCTCCAGCAGTGTCCACATGGGGCAGGTAGAGTGCAATTCTTTGGTGCTCTTTGCAGTTCATGCTCCCATAGTCCACACTACGGTGCAGCATAGACAAAACTTAAGCCTTACTCATTCTTTCTCCATATCATCTCTAGCGTTTGGTCTGCCCCAGCAACTTATGTTGGTATAACTACATCACTCAGTAATGTGGAAAATCCACACCCCTGAGTGATGCAGTTATACCAACTCCTGTCCATCCACACAGCTAAAACTTTCATCAAGGCTGTCATCATCTTGTGTCTCAATTACTCCAACATCCTTCTCTCTGGCCTTAACGAATGTAATCTTTTGCCACTCATACATAGATAATTTTCCTGAGGTGTTGCTTTAAGCTTGTTACCCTTTCTTTCCATCCTCCACTGGGTTCCCCTTCTCTATGGTACCAAACATAAACTGCTTGTCTTCACTTTCAAGGCCCTTCCCAATCTAGCCCCACCCTATCTTTCATCTCTCATTCAGCATCACAATGTTGACTCCCTCCAATCAGTCCATGATGTCAAATTCCATCACCTACTTGTTAAATTTCCAAACAAGTCCCTTTGTGCTTTTTTCTAGCCCCCCCCCCCCCCCTTCGGGAGGAGCTCCCCATAAACATCCACAAAACTAACTCATCT